AACTTAGGTTTCTCCACTATTAATCATTCTACTCTAATTTCCTTCTTCTACTATGAATTTTATTGAAATAGATTTTGAGAACTCGAAATTCACCATTGCTAAGCAGTTCTTTATGTGTTGACTTAATGTTTAATCACTTATATTGTATTAAAAAGTTCTAATGTACAATTCCTTCTAACCTGGATAGTGTTTGAAACTCTCCATCTAATGGAATTGAACAAATTTAAAATATTACGATCTAATTCTTATCTTTGTGCGATTTGTTTGTCTAAATAATCCTCCAGTTAGTTCTTAATTGTTATTGTTGGGCTCTAATGCCAACTGGTCTCATAGGTTATGATGATAATGGGCTGTTTGGTCCAACGGTCTACTTAAAAAATCATGCAATAACTTGGCTGACCTAAATCCCAAATCCATACCTTAAAAATGTGTCCTGAGAAAAGCACCTTTACAGCAACTCAACATTTTTTCCTTTAAGTTTTCTAAGAAGCCCTGGATCGTAGGATCATGGTCTAGATCAATGGCTAGATGTAAGGGTACAAATAGTACCCTAGGTCGCCCAATTAGGTCACAATCTCATTGCTGCCTTTCGGGGTTTTCTTCCTGAATTTTGTTCTCTCTTTGTGTTCTTCTTCCCAATCTGTGGTTGGAAGTTGATTCTTCTAGTTTTCTTTTTAAAATTTAGATGTGGTTTTGTACTTGAGAGAGGTGATGCAATTCCTTGTGGCGTTCTTTAATCAATAAAGAGTTGCTTAGGATTCAGGTTAGGGTTTTGATAGCTAAAAAGAAGGGTACAATTTTGATTCTAAGCCCTTCAATCTTGATTTCCTCGGTGCTTTTGGAGTTGTAACACTGATCGAGTGTTGTAAACTTTTTTGGTTGAAAGTTTCGGTAATATTTGTTGAGAACCTATGTTATTGGTTTGAAGAATAGTGTAATAGTTACCTAAATTCTGTTTTTTCTTCAGGTAGATTTGTCCCATTTGGGGTCTTGAATTGAAAATATTAAGCTCACCTTTTATTTTATTTATTTTTTATTTATTTATTTTTTGTGTAGGTTTTGGGAATTTTGAAGATTTTTAATAATGGGTGATTAGAGAAAGATCATGCTGTTTTCATTTTTTATGTCCTAGCGGACCAAGGACATAGCACTAGGTTTACAGTTTTTAACTATATGTTCCTCTTTTTATAATCCAATTAGTTGTCATTGTCTTTCTTTTACTGAGAATAGAGCTTGAGACAATAATTGCAGTTTCAAGAAACTGCAGTTTTCTTTCTTTTTTTCTTTTTATGTGAATTTTACTTTCATTTTCACTTTTGAAGTGAGCATCATACTCCAAAGAAAATGGAAACCAACCTAAATAATCGGTTATGGTACAATTCAGTTCCAGATTTCACGGGTAAAATTCGTAACTGAATCGAATTGGGCATTGAGACAAACTGTGTTTTATCTAACCATAATAAATAAACTGTCTTTTGCTTATGTTAATTATTGATCATGTACTTATAAGTTGATGTTTTATTCTTAGCCATACGTATATATTTTTACATTCCATATTTGTTCATTGGACAGGGTACATATCGCAGAGGTGAACGCGCGACTTCATCGTTCCAGAAAGAATACAACTCGAAGAACAAAGTTCATATTTTTGCTACTACTGAAAGATATATCCATTTTTGATGTAGTTTTACTTCACTTTTCATTTTTATGAAAGAAAATGGCCTGGAAATTCTTCATTCTCAAAAGACTAGGCAATTTACTAATTGCACATGCGAACTTCTGTTTTTATACAAATGATAAGGTGTCCAATATTGAAAGTTCAACAAAAAATGGAACCGCAAGGGTTGGTATGGAAGGTATAGGAAATAAGGTACGCCTATATATTAACTTCATTTTCTAGATGCCCTTTTCCATAAATCATTATGCCCTTCTTGTAGAAAAGTATTGTCATAATGATTAATTTATTCCTAATGAAGGAAAAACCATTGTGGTTCATTAAATACCATGACGGTTAAGAAAAATATCCTTAAAACCCCTTTCATCTTCTACATCGAAAGACAATAACACAAAAGTAGATTTATTATTTACCATGTCTATGTTGAATGAGAAAAAAAAAAGTAAAGCATATATGTCCTTTAAACTTTTCCATGATTGTTTAGGAATATTGCTTTCACTCATCCAACGTGGTCAAGAAAACATTTATCCTTTCATTAAGATATCATGCAAATGAAGTTAAATAGAGTGGGAGTTAAGCTATTTTGTAAAGAAGGAATTATGCTTTGTGTTGATTGTGAATGATATTCACGCAGGTTAAAAAGGCTCACAAAGCTGATCTTCTTTGTGTTGATTGTGAATGATGCAAATCTTATTTTTGCTGGGTACTTTTTGATCTTTGGTCAAATGGATAAATATAAATTCTAGTTGTTTAAAAAAATTTGTTATAATGCAGTGGAACAACTTTGCTGAATATGACGTTGTATTGAGTGACTCATAATTTGCTTTTACTTTGATCGTACATTTGAATCATTATTGTATTTCGAGTTTGCAATGGGATTGAATAGAGCCTGCATCCTTTCAGATCTGTCTAGCATTCGCATGTTTGACCATCGAAAACTTACTTCTAGAGGAATCAGATATCCCCTCCAGATATCCAAAGGCTGTAGCGATGCTATCCTCTGTGTCCAGGTGCCAGAAATTGTACACACGATTGTTTTAATGATGAGTGGTGTTAACAAGTGTTAACTATCCATTTAACATCGTTATATTTTTGTTTCAGTGGTGTCCAGACAAGTCATCTGTCTTTGGCAGTGGTGCAGAGGATGGTATCTTAAACATCTGGGATTATGAAAAGGTGAGGTGTCGCGCGCTATTCCAGATAAAACAAACAACAAACTATTATGTTTGAACAAATTTATGATAAAACACGAAGTGGAATAATGACATGGAGCGTTACAGAGGTAGCAATCTCAGGAACCTTAATTTGGTCCACTGATCTTGTTGAGTAGGATCAATCAATACAATAAATGGAACCCAGATTTATTTTCCCTGCAGATGACTCGGCAATCACCACAGCCTTAACCAAGAAGTCCACCAACATTATCTCCCCAACTCTGACCTTCCTATAAAGACTACTCTACCAAAGAACAATCTGGTCCAGACATCAATGGCCGGAACGTAATCAGCCCGAATTTGGGCACCGCCAAATGGCCTGAAACAATGGCTATCAGTCCCCTTAGTAATATCAATCACACACTCATAAATACTGCCGAACACATTATTATTTTTCTTAGTCTCTTACTATTCTTATTTATAATTCTTATAAATTTGCCAAACGGGGGCTAATTTTTAACACATTCATTTTCTAGTGATATCAACTTTATTTTTTTTGCACTTCTATCAGAAATTTTGCCATATTTTTCTAGTGATATCGTTTTCTAGTATGTTTCATTAACTTTTCTTTCAGGCTATCCTCATAGGTCTGAACAAGTATGGGAAAGGAGATTGGAGGTGCATCTCAAGGCATTATGTCCCCCAACTCAAGCTCCTAGCCAAGCACAGAAGTACTTTCGACAACAAAACAATTTGTCTCCAATGGATAAACATCGACCCAGCATCCATGACATTCAGTGTGTCAATCCTACCACCTTTGATTCCATGCCTCCAATCAATGCCATCTATATTAATAATATCCCAGACGTGGAAGACGGAAAACTTTTCCCCACTGGCAAACATTCTTCCCATTTCTAGTAACAAATTTGAACTCAGTTTCAATGGGGAGTTTGATGATTTTGTGAATTTTCGTAACCCTATGTGTCCCCCAAACGAGACCTCATCACTTACAGTTTTGGTACACAAGTTGTTATTTCTCTACGTAAACTCAAAACACAAATAGTGGCCCCACTACAACAAAACTGTGATTTCGCAACATACAAAAAGTTGTAGCAATAAGTGACTTAACGCTCCACATTTTTTTTACTTTGTCGCGAAGTTTGTGATGAGAAAAATAAGTACCAAAAAACCTTTGGCGACATAAAAAGAAATCGTTAAATGTGAGAAGTTGCGACAAATAATAAAGAATTTCGCCAAAAATACGAGGGAAGCCAAAATATTTTTGGTGGGAAACTTAGGGCGACAAACCTTTATTTCTTGCAACAAAATGCTTGTGATGCAATAGGATCTACTTTTCGTGATAAAAAATATTTGTTCCTAAAAATTTGAATTGTGATTTCGCGATAAGATTTTTCGCAACACACAAAAAGCTGTTGCAATAAGTGACTTAACGCGGCACATTTTTTTAGTTTGTCGTGAAATTTGTGATGAGAAAAATAA